CTTGTTTGAGAGGGCGCCCCCATGAGCCGGGTGATGGGGGGCTGCCCTAGCTCCCCCCCTTGTCATGGCTAAGGGCAAATGGGTGGAGTTGCTCTTATAAGCAAAGAGTTAGGTATTTGTTTGGAATTCCCAATTTAAATCCCTAAATTTGTGGGGTTGAGCTCTAATTTTATTTAAATTAGGGCATATTAGTTTGATTTGATTTAATTTAGCTCTTAAAATAAATCAAACTTCTTGATCTAGGGATTGAACCCTTAATTCATAGGATTTAGCCAATCACGTATAATTTCCACATTTTAATTTTTTGACTTTTATTTGTTTAATGCAACTCTTTATAGACTAACATGTGTCATTTTCAATGGCTCGTTTTGTTATGGTGAGTCATGAGTCATCGTTGATTAGTTAAATGGTCAAACTTTGAATTACTGACCACTAAAATTTTGATGTCTATTAGCGAATTGACATGGAGAATATGACCCTAGTCTTAAGGGGCACTACAAAAATTAAAATTTATTTTTTATTTGTTTTTGTCCACATGACATATATTTGGCATTCGCACCTTTTGCCGCATCATCATTTAACAGCCAAATTGGCGGATTGTGAAATAGAAGTCTAACATTGTTCCAATTTCACAATATCAGGCTTGGCATTGCGACATTATAAAGTTGAGATATTAAATTGCCAAATTTGACGAACTTGGAGTTGGAATACAATCAATGCAAAAATATATTCATATACATTTATGTTATTGTCATTTCAATTAGGAAAAAGAAATGCACAACGCAGTGGGATGTCGTGGCTGCACATGGTAGAATATGGGAATGATGCAGTGGTCGCTTGGGTGGTAGCTGATTACTGAATTGAGGGGATGAACGTGTAATCAATCTTGCTCCAATTCCAAAGTTTTTCTTTCTTTCTAATATTTAATGTATTTTTGTTTTGGTGAAGATATTAAATGTAGCATTCAGCCAAAATAAAAAACAAAACGAATAATTTATAATATTCTTGTTAGGAGGTTCTAAATTTAAGCCACACTCATTGCAATTTTACTTTCAAAGCTGGTAACAAAAATAAATAAAAAATCATTATTTGATTACTGACCTGGCAGATATTTTATAATATTCCAATTGATATTAAATATCAGAATTAATTTTGATTCGGGTAATATTTTGCTCATCATTTTAATCCAATACATACATTCACTATCATTTTCAACATTTGATACGTGTCAATGGGCATAACTATAATTAACTCTTTGTTTTGTATTTATAGAACCAAGATTATGCTTATTGATACGTATAATACAGTTTTGGTTAAAGTGATAAGCAAAATTATGTACGGCGGATCTTCTGTTTAATAATTTTTCCTTAAAAAAAAAAAACTAGACTCATTGATTTTCTTTTCTTCTAAATCAAGAAATTGACCGGCCAATCCGAGCTCTCTCCTCTAACCAAATCAAAACACCATCATCTCACAAAAGATATTACAAAATTAGCCAACTCAGCCTCATCGAATGGATTGGATGGTTTTCCAAATCGAACAGTCTACAATGGAGTTCCTATAGCAAGAAAGAAAACTTTGGATCACTTTTTTCTGGTCCAAATTTTATATATTAATATATAATATATTTATTTATTTTCTCATTGGATTACAACTTACTCAAGGAGGGCCAGACCAAATCTTTGGTAGAAAGTTGACATGCAAAAATGGTGGGCCCTGATTTTATTAATGAAATCATATATTCGATTATACTAAAATACCATGTAGACCTACTTTTGATGTAAACTTTGGACCACCCTCTACCGATACCGATTTATTCTTTGTCCCCGACCTTAAGAAATGCCGACTAAGGATAAAAATAAAGCAAAGATCATGACAGGTTAGGCAATAGTAACCAAGCCAGCTGCATTTACTACCTTCTTAATTAACTCTTCCTGCTGCCCCATTTCATCATCCTAAATTACTTTTTTATTTTTATGACCAATATGCCCCATTAACATTTGAAAATACCAATTATATCCGAAGATTAATTACGTTTTTCAAATTCATTTGATCACAAATCAAATATAAAAAATAAATAAAATGATACTTCTCGATGACTTTTCTAGCATTATCAAACATAAGAATTAAATCTTTCATTTTCATCATCTCAAACAAAACATAGAAATAAGTATCGAATTCATCACTAATATATATCGTCTTTGTCATTCATGTGAGTCGAATATGAGACGTCCTTCAACCAAGTGGAGATAATGGATGAAAGGCTGGTTAGTGCTATTGCATTTATGTCTCGAACTATATAATTTAGCCTTCAATTATTTAAAAGACTTAATTCTCAACAACACATGACATATCATGTTGAATAAAACAAAATATCAATACCAAAATAATCTTTTTAAGAATCCTTATCAACCCAACAACGTGCCTAGGATCTCGTTCCTAAAGTGGTTGTAAAATTTGTCTTCTTACAACACAACTTGATCTTCAAAAATGACATGTTTTTGTATCACAAGGACACATGTATCAACTATGTCATCAAAAATTATTAAGAGGAAAAAAAAACATCAAAATATTGAAACCACAAAAAAGGAAAAAAAAATCAGAAGATAAACATAGAAGAGAGAGAGAGAGAGAGAGAGAGAGAGAGAGAGAGAGAGAGAGAGACCAATTGTCCAAGACGAAACAAAATTGGTTTTAGAAGAGACCAAACAGGTGCACACATAGACAATGCGTTGTACAACAGAAAGAGCGAGTCCACCAAACCACAATATATTCGCGCGCGTACACAAACCGCTGTGATTTGGGTCTTTCAGAGACAGTAAGCTCTCGGTTGTCTTCGTATGGTCTTAGCGGGTACTCCACCAGACACCGTTTCTTTCTCACTTTGCTCTCCCACGAAGAAAAATCGATCCCGTTTCTCTCTCTAAAACCCATCTCGCTCTCTTTTTCTTTCTGCATTATGTGTTATGGTTCTTGGACACTGGAACTTTGAAGAGGGAACTGATTCATTTTGGCATTAATTTCAGTGCATGTTCTTGATTTTCTAGAGGTATGCACTTCTGGGTTGCCTTAGATTTCACGCTTTCTTTATTGGGTTTTGATTCATTCGTGAACTTTATTCATGATAAAGTTGTTTGAAGTATGAAAGCACACGCAAGATGTACTGTTCTTTGATATTTACTGCCGTAAACTTCTGGGTTTTGTTCACTTCTGCGTTTTCTTAGTTGGGTTTGATTCATAAATCCTTATTTTTCTGTATTTTCTTCTTCTTCACGATTACCATAACTGAGTATAAACACACACAACTACTCCTTGATATTTCACATGTTGTGTTTTATACTATTGCATTTATATTTGGTGCTTCATATGCATATCATCTATCTCTGATTTGTCCAGTTTTCTATTGAATTATATCTCAAAGTGCCAATCTTTGAAGGAAGAAACTCATCCATTACAACTTGAATCTTGCTTTCTTTTGCTCTTTTTGGTGAATTTCCATAAGTTTGCATATCCAGGAACCATTGAAGTTTCTTTTGCTATAATTTGGTCCAATTATATCCCATATTGTTGTTAAGATATCTGTGATGATCTTGTTATTCCCCTTGATTTTTCAAATAAATTTATGTTTTAATTTAGCATCGTCGTCCTTCATGATATATAGGGAACAGAGTAGGAGGGGTTGGTGATTTATAGGAGCACTAACAACCACTAGGCTGCTTGGTTGGTTTATGTTTGTTGCTCTATGTCTATGTATATGATTTGATGTGTTTCTGATTTTGGAATTGGTTGTTGACCCCTGAATGGTTGCTTAATAAATTCATGGTGGGTTTTTGTCCAGCTGTGGAATCTAAGGGGACTTGAACAATTGGGTAATTCGTTTTCATCTCCACTCGGCAATTTGTGGAGATGTCAAGTTACGGGGGTGTTATCATTTCCGATCAATGGCTTCAAAGCCAGTTCACGCAGGTTGAGCTACGCAGTCTGATCTCCAAAGTATGTATATTTGTTCCTTAGCCAGTTTTTCTTTGAAGTTTGGAAGGTTTATCTGAACTTTTTATCATATAGTATTTAACAATGTTATGTGATGGGTTTGCTCTAATCTGTGGTTTTGAGTTAATTGTTAACTCTTGTGGTTTTCAGTTTAATTCAGTGAAGAATGAGAATGGTAAAGTTATGGCTGGAGATCTACCACCTTTAATGGTGAAATTAAAGGCTTTTAGAGATATGTATTCCGAGGAGGACATTAGGGGTACCTTAAGTGGGTTGGGTTCTAACTTCAGTAATGAGATTGATTTTGAATCCTTCCTTAAGGTAAGCCATATTGTATAACGTTTTCTTCTTCTTCTTCTTCTTCTTCTTCTCCTCTCTCTCTCTCTCTCTCTCTCTCTCTCTCTGTGACACACGCACACTCTCACTCTGACTCTCACTCTCACTCTCAAGTTAATTGATGAATTAATCATAGTGTATTACGAAGTACCACGACGAAGGGCACTGGCATAATGAAATGGCTTGCCCCAAGTAAGCTGGTCATTGTGGGTCCAAATTGCAGAAACAGCCTTTCTGGGTTCAGGGGAAGGGCTGCCTAAAGGGGTCTTCTTTTTATTTATTTTTTATTTATAAAGAGACAATTTAATTGCTACAAAGGGTGTGTCCCAGCCCACCCTTCTTAATTGAAAGAAGTCTCACATCAGAAGCACTATTTTTAAGAATTTTGTTTTCATTGTTCTGGAGTTAGGAGTATGGGATGTTGCATTTAAGTGGGCATTTATAGGAGGTAACATTTTAGTTTGATGAATAAAATACACAGGCATACTTGAATTTGCAAGGTCAAACTACAGCAAAATTGGGTGGTTCAAAAAACTCTTCATCGTTCCTGAAGGCCACCACGACCACCCTCCTTCACACAATCAGTGAATCAGAGAGAGCATCTTATGTGGCTCACATAAACAGCTATCTTGGGGATGATCCGTTCCTAAAGCAGTATCTCCCATTAGACCCAGCTACAAATGATCTATTCAACCTTGCAAAAGATGGAGTTCTCCTATGGTATTGAAGCAGGGTTTGGTTGATTATTTTCTGTCCAGTTTTGTCAGTTAAAGCTGTTATTTTATTGTTTTGTTGATTCGTCTAATGGATCAAATGCAGTAAGCTTATAAATGTTGCTGTGCCTGGGACAATAGATGAACGAGCAATTAACACCAAACGGGTCCTCAACCCATGGGAGAGGAATGAAAACCATACTCTTTGCCTTAACTCTGCCAAGGCCATTGGCTGCACAGTGGTTAACATAGGCACACAGGACCTTATTGAAGGAAGAGTACGTTTTTTCGATTGAGAAATAAGTGAGTTTAGTATACATTTTGATACTGGGAAATTCATGTTTTGGTTATTTATTTGCAGCCTCATCTGGTATTGGGGTTGATTTCCCAAATTATAAAGGTAGGCAGCTAAAGTTTAATTATTCACTCTATTGTAACCTCAGATAAAGTTTACTTGCAATAGCGATTGATGTAAATCTCTCTTTCCCCTTTTTCCTTGCATGAAATTAATATGCCAAGTTCAGATCCAACTGTTGGCAGATCTCAACCTTAAGAAGACGCCTCAACTTGTGGAATTGGTGGAGGATAGCAATGTATTGTAATTTAGAATTTTTTTCTGTGTTCTCATATTCCAAAAACTTTTAGTAAAAATTGCTTGTTAAAGACTTCTTTTCTCACAGGATGTTGAAGAGCTTTTGAGTTTACCCCCTGAGAAGGTCTTATTGAAATGGATGAATTTCCATCTCCAGAAAGCAGGCTACAAGAAACCTGTTTCAAACTTTTCCTCTGATGTGAAGGTATTTTGCCATACCTATAGTACTGTATATCTAGGGGCATGTAGCACAATAGCAGTGTCATTATAACTTGCCAGGGAGTAGCAGTATCTATAAATGAATTGTAATTAGGATTTTTTTTATGTCATAATTTGTAATGGATGCACAGGACGGAGAAGCTTATGCTTACCTACTTAATGTTCTTGCTCCGGAACACTGCAATCCTGCCACTTTGGATGCCAAACCCAATGAAAGGGCAAAATTGGTTCTTGACCATGCTGAGAGAATGAACTGCAAAAGATACTTATCCCCAAAAGACATTCTTGAGGGTTCTTCAAACTTAAATCTGGCATTTGTGGCACAAATATTCCATGAAAGGTGGGACGTGAACTATGACTACTTTTTTTTTAGTCAGAAGATAACTTTGTGTTTTATTTGTTTTTTGTTTGACAAAGCACGATTATGTGGGATGAATTTAACTAGGTAGAAAATTCGAGAATAAGCTTACCATCTGATCCTGCATATGATATGTTGTCAAAAGAATGTGATGAAATAATTTCCTCATAGTAGCCTAATGTTTTTTGTCTTTATTTTCTTTATAAAAGTATTATATATACTACATCCTAGACAGTCTATTATGCAGTTAGATTGTCAGTGAATACGGTTGGTCAGGCCAAACTATCTCACAAGCGAGCATGATTCTCTCTCTGTCTCTCTCTGTCTCTATGTGTGGATGTGGTTGATGTCTTGATTTGTAACCAAATTATATAAGTTTGTTTAACTATTTGGTAATTAAGAGTATACCTTGTACAGGAATGGCCTCACTACAGATAGCAAGAAGATTTCTTTTGCCGAGATGATGACAGATGATGTGCAAACATCAAGAGAAGAGAGATGCTTCCGTCTGTGGATCAACAGTCTAGGCATTGCTACTTATGTTAATAATGTATTTGAGGATGTGAGAAATGGGTGAGTGTTCGTAATTTAAGCAAGAGTCATTAATGTACCAAAAAATCATCCATATTTTAAAAAGCTGTCAATGAAATTATAAGTCAAACCCCGCGTAACAAGTCATTTGCTAAATTGCATTAAGTTTATTTGACAGAAATAAATATATCACTTTTTCCTAACATACATAGTACTTTTAATTCTATGATTTTGGCATTCACAAGCTTCTTATTTATGGGTTTGATTTTCTTGATTTTCATAATTCTTGTATGCAGATGGATACTCTTAGAAGTGCTTGATAAGGTTTCTCCAGGATCAGTTAACTGGAAGCAAGCATCAAAACCTCCAATTAAGATGCCGTTTAGAAAAGTAGAGAATTGCAATCAAGTTGTAAAGATTGGGAAGCAATTAAAATTTTCGCTGGTGAATGTAGCTGGAAATGATATTGTGCAGGGAAATAAGAAGCTTATACTTGGTAATTAATTTTCAGTGTTTATGAATATTTGTGTGCACACCTTCCTAATCCCTTAGGTTTTGAGCTTAATTGATCTACTGCAGCAACTTATTATGTACTAAATCTAATTGTTTGCATGTTCACTCTTTTTATCATTACTGGCTTTAATTATCTTCTATTGATTTCACTCACTAAATCAGTTTCATTTTGAGTTCTGCAAGGTATATATGCTTGATTGAGTACATAAATTTGCTTTCAGAGGGTAACTTATTTTTTAGTCTGACGTAACCTTAAACTTCTTTTCTCTCTTCTCAAGAATAAGATGCTGTCTGGTTTTTTGCTACTCCCAGTTAAATTAAAAATGTTTTTCTCTCTGTTCCTAAAATGGATTACTTTTCATCTGTGATTCCTGAGAATTTGTTGTTAAATGCTAGAGTTTGTTTGATTTTTTTTTTCAGCTTTCCTATGGCAGTTGATGAGGTTTAATATTCTTCAACTTTTGAGGAATCTAAGATCTCACTCTCAAGGAAAGGAGATGACAGATGCTGATATTTTAAATTGGGCTAACAACAAAGTCAAAAGCACTGGCAGGACTTCTCGAATGGAGAGTTTTAAGGTTCAAACAGACTAAACCTGTTTTCATCTCACATTATAGATGGAATCATAATCCTAAACATGATTATATGTGGTATTCTGAAAGCTGGGATTTCTCTCCAGGATAAGAGCCTATCAAATGGGATTTTCTTGCTTGAGCTTCTCAGTGCTGTAGAGCCTAGGGTTGTCAACTGGAACCTTGTTACTAAGGGTGAAAGTGGTAAGATTCTTTTTGCAATGTTTTCATTTACAATTGAGCAGGAAAAGGACTTTGACCGAATTAATTTTGAGTAGAGTACTGATGAGAGAAGTGGGTTTCTTTTCTTGTTGCAATGATAGCTGAAGAAAAGAAGTTGAATGCTACGTACATAGTCAGTGTTGCACGAAAGCTTGGTTGCTCCATTTTCTTGTTGCCTGAGGACATCATGGAGGTAAAGAGTAATTCCAACTGCAATTTATTTATTTATTTTGTACAGGGTCATCGATCTCATTTCATGCATAGAGACTAAGTAGTGACATTTTAAATTCATGTTCATCCATCTTATTTAATGCTTAGAGACTTAAGTAGTGACATTTTGATATCATGACTTTGGTGGCCTACATGATTTATGAGAATGATATTGTCACGCTGTTGGGCGGGAAATATATAATGAAATTACTTGCATTTTGGCTTTCTTGAAGATTGTGAAGATCTTTTTATCCGGGGATTGCCTATATTCGAAATTTATTTATTTACTAAAATACAGAAACACACATCCACACTTGAAATTTACAAACACACTGAAAGTTGTGCACAATTTTGGAGCAGTACGCAGTAAATTTTTGTTGTTGCCAAAGGAGCAGTAAGCAGTATTGGGTTCTATTAACTTCATGACCTTCACAATTTCAATAAGTCTTTTTATTTTTGTCAAAACAATTTCAATAAGTCGATTTGTGATGTCATGGCAGGTGAACCAGAAGATGCTTCTGACCCTAACAGCCAGCATTATGTTTTGGAGCCTGCAACAAGCAGTTGATGACACAGAAAGATCACTGTCCCCTGTTGATGCGTCGCCGGCAACATCTATCAACGGAGAGGATGAAAGCTCCTCTTCCCTTGGTGGTGAAATTTCAAACTTAAGTATTGATGACACTGCCTCTGACACTACAGTCACTTCCCAGTTTGAGAATGAAGGCAGCACTGCCAGCACTCCCAGCACTCCTTTGGGAGACGGGATCAGGGTGGAAGAGAAAGGGTGCATAGCTGTTCAGTAAGTTCAAGCAAAAGCGTAAATATACTCGAAGCTCCATAAAAATATGGTTGGTCGTAAACAGATTTAGAATCACAGGTTGAGAAGAAAAGAGACAACTTTGTAAGTATTTCGACTTTGTAGATATTGAGAGACGTTCCTTTTTGACAGTAATTATATCAGTCAAAGATGAAATAATTGACAAATGTTTGGTAATGGGTGTGGTAGTAGTAGTGCGAAAGAAAAGAAAAGAACTCTCTCTTTTTTCCAAGAGCTGAAAAGAAAAGGAAATTGCATTAATTAAGAAAGGGAACCAAAGGAAGTAACTTTACACCAGAAGGGCCCTGTTCTTGTCCTAATTTGGATGGATGATAGCCAACTTTGGTTTTGGGGTTCAGCTCTTACGTATCAATAAAAAGCTTATATTGGAGGATAAATTATGTCCAGTCTTAAGAGCTTATGCCGAGGGATAAATTATGGCCAGGCTACTAACTGATTAAATACTCAACTTGTATTTTCAATCAAACACTCCAAAGTACGAAATATAACATTTTCCTAATCAAACGAGTAACTTTATTTCCAGTATTTAAAGTTATATAATTACCATTTAACCTTTTAAATTACCTAAACGACTAGGTACAAAATTTAAGGGTTAATTTTACAAGCACCACTTTGAGGGTTTTTTTTCCCTTCTTTTTTTTGATGTAGCAATTGTCATCCATGAGGTCCGGTCTCAAAACTTCCTCCAACAAAATAGAGACTACGTACCACTAGACCAAATGATCATTGATCACCATTTTTAGACTTCGAATTTATCGAATCCAAGATGGTGTAAGTGGTGCCCACATGACCCCAAAATTTCCCCGATATTATAGATGTGGAAACAAATAATCCGGCTTCCAATCACAAGGTCCCACGTGGACAAGAAGAATATCTCCTAGGTCAATTAATTGAGCCCATTTATTTGGCAAATTAATTGATATTGAAAATAGAGATATTATCTTTATTTAAAAAGATAATATCATTAAGATATTATCCTAATTTGGAGATATCATCATCAATTAGTGAATTGATCCCAATCAAAACCCTAATTGATTCAATCTCTACAATTTGGGGAAAGAATATATTCCTTCCAAATAAAAAGATATTCTTTGAAAAACCCAAGATGACTAAAGCTCTATAAATACATGACTTCATTCAACACACTAGATAATTCTAAATCCAATTTCGACCGGAAAAACCCTACTCTCTCTCTCTCTCTCACTGCCCCTTATCTCCATATTTTCCTATCACGGCTCCGCGGCTCCGACCACCACACACAGCTCCGACCATTCAGTTCTCCCCATAGAGAAAACTCCATACCCTTTGTTAGCTATTGTTTTTCATAGATACAATCGAACTAACTTAGACATCGGAGGGCCTTTGGGCAACACCTCCGGGTGTGTTCTTTTACTCATGTTTGATTTTATAGGAACTGAGTAAGAGAGAGAAAGAAGTCTATAGGGTAAATGATCTTCAAGCGAATATTCTCCCGTGAGAATATTTGCACAAACAATAGCCTATATTTTCCACAATAAACCATATTGAGTATGACTGTATGATGAATGCTTTGTCGGTGGCAAGAGGAATTACCTAAAAAAGAGAAAAGAACGTATGTTAGTAGCTATACTTAGAGCATCTCCACCCACAAGGGCTAAGTTTAAGGCAAGGGCAAGCAAGGGCTGCAACTATTCACGTGAATAGTGTCAGCCTTTGCATTTGTGGTTCCACCCATGAGGACAAAGTCTAAGGCAAGTCAAGGGCAAGAAAAAAAAAATATATGCAACAAAATATAAAATTGTTATGTATTTATAGGGAAAATATCCATAATTTTTTGGTATTTTTTTATAAAAAAATTGAATTTTTTATAATTTTTTTGAATTTTTTTTTGCTCGCTGACGTCAGAGCCCTCGGGCTGAAGCCCAGGCGAAAGTTGCCCTTGGGCCTGCCCGGGCTGGTGGGACCCAGCCATTGCCCGAGCTCTTTTCTGCGCGCTGGAGGGGAGTTGGGCTGCCAGGGGGGCCTTTTGCCCAGGTTTGGGTGAGCGCTGGAGATGCTCTTAGCAACGGGTTGTGTTTTTGTAGGGGTTCGTCATGTGAAAATTAGCTTAACTTGAACATGGCACACCTCCGGGTGTGGCTCGAAATGAACCGTGTTCCTTTTCGACACCTCATGGAAAAAAAAAACCAACACTTGCTTCTGGAGGCCTCTTCTTTCTCAGTTAAAATAACACGAGAAAATGAACACACAAACATGACCAGCAAAAATAACATGTTGTACAACATGGTTCATTCGTTAATTACCTTGTTTCAACTGTTACTCATCAATTTTCACATGTTTAAAAAAATATAAATAAAAATAATTGAAAAAACAAATGAATAAATCACCAAAGTAAAACATCTTACAATTCACAGCTAATTTATGAAAAACTTCAATCTTGAAGGAATGAAACGAGTAATTACAAGATGATACAATGCATGATTAATGAGCATATATAGGATTTTTGGGTCAAATAATCCCTAACTTTGACCCGATTCGCATTTTAATCATTCAATTTTCAAAATCGTTTCGATGGTCATTAAAAGTTCACTTTCGATAGCAAGAATAGTTCTTCCATTTGTTTTGTTAGCTATTTATGTCAATTTTGAGCATGTGCATAACATGTGGTGGGCAAAAACATAAATTACTTGGCTCATGATATATCATATATGTGGAGTAATTCCTCCTTCTCCAACCAACCACAACCTACACCAACCCCTGCAATTACTCAAAACACCCACCAAACTCGCCAGCCAACACCCAACCTGAGCCACTCTAGCACTCTCTTCCCCGACCCGACCAACCACAACCCACCCCATCCCCAGCAATAACCCAACCCCCCCAACCCCTCTCTCTCTTCTCTCTTTCTCCCTAACCCCCATACCACAACCCACAACCCACCTCGCCCAAAGTTTGACCTGAGTGCCCATAATGGAAGAAGCTTTGAAGGCCAGCATAGGAGGTGGTCTGATGCCGCTTTTACTCATTCCAAATGAGAAAACACCTTATGAAGAAGAAGTGATTTGCAATTTAGGGCTGGTTTCAGAAGGGGGAAAATAAACCAACATAAAAAGACACATTTATCCTTAAATTTAACAAAAAAAATTGACAGAAGAGATAGCAGGACGATTCTTGCCAACGAAAATGAAGTTGTAGAATCACTCTAACGATTTTGAAAATTAAAAAACCAAATGCGAATTGGACCAAAATTCAAGGACTATTAGACCTAAAAATCCAGCCCGTATATTCTCAACAAATAGCTTGTATGTGACCCGAACACCGAATTTAGGAGGTGGTGTAAAAGAAATATAGTAAATTTAGGTTTTAATCACAAAAAAACTTTTATTTTTGAAAAAAGTCAAATTTTTTTTGAAAAAGACAGAAAAACTCCTCAACTTTTAAATTAAAAATATGCAAATGTAAATGATTTATTAGGAAATTCAAAAATAAGAAGGGTATTTTTTTCCATTTTGACTTCTTTTAAAAATATTTCTTTCTTCTTTAGCCTTTTTCCAAAATGTCCCGTACAATATTGCGTAGTCCCCACTATTCACTCTTCTAGAAAGCATTCTGTACCTACAGAGCACGTCACAGAATGCGCAATGGAGAATAAATGCGTACTCTTTTTATTCCTGAACGCGCCCGCAACTTATGAACAAAAATTTCAGAGCAAATATGAAGGAGGCAAAAAGGACATAACCCGAAACTGGAGACTCAAGAGTCTGACTGGGACTGCGTCTCTTCCATTCCTTTGCCTGCTCACAAAACGATTCGTCATCTCACAGAACATTGCTTCATACCTTTATTTGCCTTTTCTCTCGTCTTTTACATTTTGATTTATTTTTCTTCGGAAATCCTTCCCATTTTAGTCTGGAGTTTGCAAAAACATGTGTTTTGTTGTTGTTGGGTTCTGAGAAAACGGAGGAACATAGCTTTTTTCACCATTGAGGCACGATTGAGAGTGGAAGGTACAAATCTGCTAGTTCCCTTTACTTCTTTTTTTTTTCTTTTTTTTTTCTTTCTCGAAAGCCAGACGAGGGATTACACATTTTCATGTTGTCATTGTGCTCTCATTAGTAATTTTCTTTTTGGGAAAATATTTTATAAACCAGCTTTTTTTGTTTTGTTTTCAAATTTTTGTTAGTGATTTTTCATGGACTGCTTATACTAATTTTACCCAAATGTTTCCTTGAACTTTATGATTGGGTGTATTAGCAGTGTGAGTTGAAGAAGGGCATGGCATCCTCAGATGGCGAAGCCGAAGCTCTGCCATCTACTGTGTCAAATTACCATTTCATGGATGACGGAGACGAACCCATATCATTTCATGTTCTGCCCATTCAATGGAGTGAAGGTGAGAGGCAGGGTGGCAAGAAAGTTAAGATTTTTCTGCATGGAACTGTTGATGATGGGATTCAGAAGATATATAAGCATGTTATAGCTTGGAAGTTTGACCTTTCCAAGGGAAAGCCCGAGATTTTTGTACTCTCCAAGGAAAATAATTGGCTTAGGCTTCTGAAGCCGAGGAAGAGCTTTGAGGACACGGTCCGGTCAATCTTGATAATGGTTCAGTTCCTTCATTATGTGAAGAGAAATCCTGAAACATCCTACAAATCGTTGTGTACTCACTTGTCTAAAGTTTTCAGGTAACTTGCAAAACTTTAAACATCTGATACTTCTATTTGCTAGTTTTCTTAGAACAGAGTTTGACAATTTTCACACAATGTTCAGCTTGTATGACGTCAGGCATTCTCATAATGATCTGCTGGATCACATTCTGTTGATACGTGATTCGGTTGAACGGGATGATGCCTTAGCAAGGTCCAAGGTTTGTGTAGCTTCTTTTATTGTCATTGGAATTGTAACATGTATTTCAGTCATGTTTAAGCTTTTCACACCATTTTTTATTTTCCATATAATTTAGGATACATCATTAACTTTATTATCCAGAGTATCTAATTTACATGTATTGATTGAAAATGAATTTGGTCATAATTCTTTACTCCTAAAACTGCATGTCTGGAATGAAATAATAAATTCCTAGTTTATTTAGACACCACCTTCCATTTAGATGGAAACAGAGTGACCACCAAAATGAGGCTGAGCCTGTTTTTTCTTTCTTAAAATGATCTTAGGCATTCATTTTGATATTTAAGTTCATAGTTCCGCTGCAAGTTTTCCCATTCCTCTTGAATGCAAAGGGATTGTGGCCTGAGATAAGCTGCCGGAAACTTCTCATTAAGGCTCAATCATATCAAATTGTTCGAGCAGAACAGTTATATCCCAGTGATTGGTAGCTATCATTGTTTTTTCTGTTGAGAAGGTTGTGTGTTCTTGTCGTCCTCATGGTTGGTACTTACCAGATTAAGGCTTCTAGTTAAATATTTATAATTGGAGGATTAGACAAATAACTATTTCATTCTATTCCCACATGTTTTACTTTTTATTTGAAAAACATTCATTTCTGACCCTTTATGTTAACATATCGAGCTCTAAGTAGCTCAGTACCTGCTTATTCTTTGATTGAACATCTGAACCTTACCAGCATGAATTGAGTTTTCCATTATGTGAACTTTGTTGAAACTTAGAAGCTTTTCTTTACTTTGTTTTTTCTTTCACTTGGTTCTTATCTTTGTTTTATTTTCAGTTGGTTATTATTTCCTGTCTCTGATCCATTGGCTATTATATTAAGTTGTACATGATCTTTTAAAGCCAATTTCATAACTTATGCCTTGTGCATGAAATATATATGCTATATTTCTCTGTATGCACAGTTAACTGCAATGACAAATTGTGATTTAACAGTTTTTGGTGAATTTTCTTGGAGAGAAGCCCGCAAAGAGGCAACTATCTGATGAGGTCATATTCTCCAGCTTATCTCTTTCCATTCCTTTGGTAGACTTTTGTCTCCGAGTTTTATCATTGCTGTTTTTTTTTCTTTTGTGTTCAAATTAAATTGTTTTGAACAAGTGTATTCTTTTTATTTGCAGGGCATTCAAGGTACAAAAGATCTCAGATTTGTGGATGATCATATAGAACATGATATGATTGATGGTGCAGAAAATGAGTCCAGTGACATTGATAGCCTGTTTAGCTCTGTCTGTGCTTTCTGCGATGATGGTGGTGATCTCTTGTGGTATGCTATGGTGTTAACTGATTCTTATGATTATGATGGATGTATTCTCTAAAGAAATTAATTTCGTATAATTTATGGTGTGAATTACAATTTTGCTCTAATGCAGTTGTGAAGGGAGGTGCCTAAGGTCCTTTCATCCAACTGTAGAGTCTGCTGTGGGTTCTGATTGCAAATCTCTTGGCTTTACCAAGGATGAAGTAGATGTATGCTCCTGTCAAATATTTACTTTGTAAATTCTATATATTTCTTTTCGTTGATATCATGATCATGAATAGTATATATTGTTTTGAACTTGGTAGGCGACGCAAAATTACTTTTGCAAGAACTGTAAATATAAACAGCACCAGTGCTTTGCTTGTGGGAAGCTAGGTCCCTCTGATAAATCTTCAGGTGCAGAGGTATGACTTTGCTCTAAGAAACTGAACAATTGTTAAATGTTGGTTCTGGGTTTATTTTTATATATAGCCGTATGAACTGCCACTTGATTAGTTTTAGCAAGTAGTACACTAGTGAAAGATTTTTGTAAATCGGAACTAGTTAATCTTCTGTTTCTCTGTTTGAAAGTAGTATGTTGAAGTGCAACTTGTCTTTTCTTGTTTGGTTTTTTATTTGAGGTGGCAAAATTGGTTATTTAATATGATGAGTTATTAAGAAATGAGCAAGTGCCAAGTAGAACTGGAGATTTTGTTAATAGGAATCATTGTGTTTTGTTAGGTCTAGTACCTCATAGTCTTCTCCTCATGCTGTTCCCTTTTCGATTACGCTTCCCTTATACTTTCTTTGAATATACTTCTTGTGTTGACTTTGATATTACCTACATCCTTACTTCGTTGTGCTTGTGTCACCATTTAATCTTCTGGGAATTGTTTCCAGTTGGGATTGTGGCTCTGTTCCCATGTCATCGTCTGGGAATTATTCCCAGTTGAAATTGGTTTAAGTTTGTTTTATCATATCTTTTTCTTTCAATAAAAGGGTAATTTATTTATTATTTATTATTTATAGATTTTGTGCTAGAGGCGAAAGGTTTTGGTGTGAGGTGGAGGAAGTGTATATGAGGTTGTTTAAGATCTGTTGATTTCTCATTGATATTTAATGGGAGGCCCTGGGGAAAATTTGGGTCATCTAAGGCCTAGGGCTCTGGGACAAGGAGACCCATTATCAGCCTTCCAGCTTACTCTGGTGGTTGACGCATTAGTTAGGTTGGTGGAGAGGCCTAAAGGGTAAATGGTGTGGTGGTGGGCTGTGAAGGAATGAAGGTGATACACTCAGTGTCCATGGATGACACTATTTTTTTGGATGGGATGAGAAGTTCTTTTGTTTAAGTTAGCTGCAGATAGTCTATCACTGTCAGAACTGAAAGTTCACATGGCCTAAAGTTAAGTTTCAAGGATCAATCTCAGGATAATAAACAAGTTACGTTTGCAGGGATTAATTCTCAGGAGTAAACTGGAGGCATTGACAAATAGACTTAGGTGTGATGTGGGGTTTTGCCCTTTAAAGTATTAGGTCTTCCTTTTTGGTGCAAACCCCTGAGCAACAGATTTTGGGACTTGGTTTTAAACTAAAACAAAAGAATATTTCCTCTGCACATTTTCTAATGCTTGCTGTGAAGGATGACTCAAAAAGTTAAGAAAAGTCATAAAATATGACAGAAATTTTTAGAAGAAATGAAGACCTTTCCATTTCCAACGCATGTAGTTATGATGTAACTCATTCTGATTTCAATAGATGACTCAGTAGAACTAAGTTTCAGTAAACTTGAATGTCCCTGATTGGCAATAGATGAATTTTGTTTTAACTTTTATTTGGCAAAAGTAGTCAACTTTCCTCTATTCAAGTCAGACATCATAGGGTTTAGGTGTATTCTTTTCTGCATTTCCATATCATTGCAATCAGTATTATTGGTAGCACTATTTTATGGTTAGTTTGCATTAAAGCATTCTACTCAATTTCTTTTAGGTTGTTCCATGTTTTTCTGCGATCTGTGGTCGATTTTACCATCCACGATGTGTTGCAAAATTGCTTCATCGAGATAATGGAGTTTCTGCTGAAGAACTTGAGAAAAAGATTGCTATGGGGGGGTCTTTTACATGTCCGATTCACAAGTGCTGCGTTTGTAAACAAGGAGAGAATAAGAAGGAGAGGGATTTGCAGTTTGCTGTGTGCATGCGTTGTCCTAAATCGTACCACAGGAAATGCTTGCCAAGGTACTCTTAATGGTTTGTCCTTTTTTTTTATTGGTTTTTGATATGTGGTTATGGCTCATGGTTCCATGGTCCTTTATCTGTAGTGTCTAGATGGCTGATGCTTGTATTGCTTGTATCAGAAAGATTGCTTTTGCAAAGGGAGGAGGAAGTGATGGAGAACGGCTATTAATACCAAGAGCATGGGAAGGTCTATTACCTAAACGCATTCTTATATATTGCACGTAAGTATTATTTTCTTTGATGAGCAGCTTTTACTTGTTGGCTGCAGTTTTTCTGAGTAGTTTTTGCTTTTTCTTCTGACCAGAAAACATGAAATGAATGAAGAAGGCAGAACTATTATAAGGGACCACTTAAAATTCCCTGATGTTGAAGTGAAGAAGACTGTTACAGAAGAAAATAAGAAAATTTTGACATCAGAGTCCCTCGTAGGGAGAGAGAAAGTTGTGTCTAAGAAAATGGTTTCCTTGGATGAATTATATAGGGTAACAATTCCTACTGAAAGATCTGAGCAGAAGCAGAAGCCATCTGCTGAGGAAGTGGGTGGTAGAAATGGGGATAAAGTATTTTCTGGGTTTGACAGTTTGAGAAAGGTGACAATAAATACTGCATCTAAAAAAGAACTGAAGACTTTCACCTCTGAGGAAAAGAACACTTCAGTGGGTGAACATAAAAGAAGCTTCTCTAAGAGCAATGGTGAAGGAGAATGTCAGAAGAGTCTTGGCCATGGGAATAAGCGAGGCAATGCGCCATTAGGAAAGCTGCAGCATGGTGGCAAAGAAAAGCACAGAAGAGGAATGGTTGAGATTTCATCAGTGAACAAGCGTTGTGGCATTGCTAATCATCATTCTGAGTTGAGTAAGACTGGTAATATGCAGTTTGGAATGTCTAATGGTGGAACCCAGCTCAACATTCCTGTTGACACAGGATCTTGCTCACAGGTTTGCACGTGTAGGCAGCGAGTTCCTGATCTCGCACGATGTAATTTAGTGAGTCAGGATTCTGTTTATGACCGGATTGGTTTGCAGTCTTCTTCTTGTTGTGGCCATCAAGGTCTGGCAGCTGACTCATTTTCTGGAATGAAGCCATCATCTATGGTGCCATATGCATCTCAATGGAATAAGACTAACTGCTCAATGCCAACTGCTTTAGTTAACAGTTATGGTCCCGTAGGGCGTAAACCTGGCTACCTTGGCAATCCCTTGGGTTTTGCTCCTGGCCCTCACCAGAACTACTCAGTCCATAATTCAGCAGGTTGGCTGGATGAGTAATTACAAGGATCACGTTAGGGAGGCGCCATCCCTATTTTTTGGAAGATGTAATGATTTTGAGGGACCCGTTGGTGTAAAGAGAAATGAGTATATGGTCTTTCTTAATGGACTGATGATGAAAATGACAAAGCAAACCGACGGCCGGGTCAAGAATCTCATGAAGGTTGTACAAAGCCTTTGTCTTATCCATTGCCATTTGAACATCTCTCACTATATACGTATATTTAGAAATTTCCCTCATCGCGGTCAACTGTTGATTTATGTAAAGGATCCGAGTAGCTTTATACCAATTATCAAAATCCACATAAATCCGAGTAGCTTTATACCAATTATCAAAATCCATAATCAGTTGTAGAAGAAAAACTTACTTACAACGAGAATAACGTTGTTTTGCCATTTTCGACTAATAATACTATCCCACGTGAAAGTATTATCATGCGTGTTATAGTTTTATTGGTCGGGAATAGTAAAATAGTGATATACTCATTGCATGGAAGTCTTTCTCCAGGCATGGACACGGATCCTTTTGGTCGCGAGATAGACTAACCCGCTAACTAAACTAAACTTTCAGTAGACTAAAATTTATCGTTAAACGATGTTTCGGACAAAATTGGTTTGAGTCGGTATATTAATTTTAGTGTCGGCTTAATTCGGTACGAAATCTCGGGCATGGATATATTTGCCAAGTCGAACTAGCTCGGTTTTTCATGTCTCGGCTCAAGCCTGCCCACATAGGGCGGACCTATGCGAGCTTAATTGTGCCGGATCAAGCGCTCTCAATGAAAATACTTAAAATTGAACCATGTGTCATATAGTTCGAGCATGCAAACTACGTGCGTCGGTCCCATTATTAAACGTAAACGACATGGCGTTGGGCTAGGAGGATTTCATTCCTAATTCCTCACTGGGGGAACATACAAAGAAGTTCCAAGTTTCGCAGCAAATTGAAAAAGAAAAGAATGGAGAAGAAGACGAAGCGACGAGGCGAATTAGGAATGAATAGTTTGCGTGAGTTTCATCGATCAAGATACGAAGCGAAGTCCAAGGTTTTGTCTAGCTACTTTTCTTGTCTTTGTAACTTTCTTTAACATGTAATTAGCCTTTTATTATTATTTTGGACTACAGTGTATAGTCTAAATTACAAGGATGGAGCTTTCTCTCACACACACAACATCAAGATGCTTCTAGTCTGCAAGTTAAGGCCTTTTTAACTGGACTAGACCCCGATGTCATAATTAGCCATTTTTAGTACTTCTTATCATCACTATCTACTTTCCAGATAATTCAGAGAATTTCTTTTCTTTTTTGTTTTTGTTTTTTTTTTCAACTTTGTTGGCTTCTGTACCTGATTTTTGATGTTCAAATGCTCCTATGCATTCATGTGATTGCTCACTGCATAGTCCACTGCAATTTTTTTATTTTTTCCTAAACTTTGTTGGCGTTGGGCATGGATATTATAAATTTGTGAACTTTTGTGTGAACACATTGAGCTCTATGTGCAAGCTGCTTATTCTGTAATTGAAATATGGTTGGTATTATTTAAATATGGGATTGTTATAGTGTTTGAGCCAGTGAACTCATTGGATTTTCAGGACATTCAAGCTATCGAAAAGCCCGGATTTATAGTTGATCACATGGAAGATTATGGGATTGAAGTTGAAGACGAGTCCAATGATGATGATGACCTGTTTGATTCTGTTTGTGCTTTTTGTGATAATGGTGGAGATCTTTTGTGGTATGTTCTCGTGTTGTCTAATTTCTATGATAATAGTGATACCTAGAATTTATGGCTTAAATGTATGTATTTTTTTTCTCTAATACAGCTGCGAAGGGAGATGCCTAAGGTCCTTTCATGCAACTAAAAGGCATCGTAAGGATACTAGGTGTGAATCTCTTGGCTTTACCCAGGATGAAGTAGATGTATGCTCTTCTTATCCTCTTTTGTTGTAAATCCTGTTTCTTTCTTTTTGGTTGTCTTTTTGTTGTTGGTGTTATGATAGTTTTTATTTTATGTTTTGAACTTTGTAGGTGATGCCAATTTTCTTCTGCAAGAACTGTGAATATAAACAGCATCAGTGCTTTGCTTGCGGGAAGCTAGGATCCTCTGATAAATCTTCAGTTGCTCAGGTATGAATTGTTTTATACCTAGCTGTTGACATGTTCACTTGATTAGGTTTAGCAAGTTGTACTCTAATATGAAGGATTGTTATAATTTTAAAACTAGGACTGTATAGTTATTCTATTTTGTTCCTATCTTAATGAAGCAACACTGCATTACAATTTTGTTCTTTTGTTTGTTCTTTTTATTTTGGGGAAGTATGCTGCCATTTTGTTTTCCTTGTATGTGTGGTAACATGATGGGTTATTCAGAAATGAGCTGCTTGGGATCATTTTCTAGTGTTCGGTCTACATCTTTTCTTAAGTGTGCTTGTAGTGCCCAATTCATCCTTTGTGCATTATTTCTGGTTGGCATTCTTTTCCATTTCTTATATTATGTATTTTATTCTTTTTTTACTTTCGTTTTCCTCAGTCGAGCTAGAATAACTTTTTGGTCTACACGCACATGTAGTTCTTGCAGGTTTGAAAGCCTGTTGAGTCAAGGAAATTGGGAGTTCAAACCTGCAAATAGCCGCTCCCCTTCCTAGAAGCCACTGATTAAATTTGGTTTTACTAAAGAATATATATATATATATATTTTGGTAAATGGTTTTGCGTTTATGTTGTCTTTTTTATCTGGATAATAGTCAGCTTTTTTATTTATTATATGTGTATACATCAGTCCGAAATCTTCAGCATGTTCTTTTCTGCCTTTTCATATATTGTCATCAACAGAGTAGTACTCATACTCTTAAGTTTGGGTTACCTTAGCACTTCTATTAATTGCTGTTAGGTCTTCCGCTGTGTTTCTGCAACCTGTGGTCAATTTTACCATCCACACTGTATTGCACAACTCATTTATCAAGACAACAGAGTTACTGCTGAAGAGCTTGAGAAAAAAATTTCTATGGGGCAATCTTTTACATGTCCAATTCATAAATGCTGCGTTTGTAAACAAGGAGAGAATAAGAAAGATCCCGAGTTGCGGTTTGCTGTATGTAGGCGTTGTCCGAAATCCTACCACAGGAAATGCCTACCAAGGTACTCTTAATTGTAATTTTTTTTTTTCTGTTTTCCTTTTAATATGCTGTTATGAGACCATGGGTTAGTCCTTTATTTGTGTCCACATGAGTAATGCTTGAATTTCTTGTACCAGTGAGATTGTAATTGAAAAAATTGAGAAAACAGAGGAAGACGAAGAAGAGGACGAGGAAGAAGAGGAAGACGAAGAAGTGGAAGACGAAGAAGTGGAAGATGAAGAAGATGAAGACATAGAGGGTGAAGATGTAATAACAAGGGGTTGGGATGGTCTATTGCCTAACCGTGTACTAATATATTGCCTGTAAGTATTAATTTTTGTGAACTACTTTTGTTCATTACTTTGTCTGCTTTAATTTTCTGAACGCTTTTTCGCTTCCTTCGTATTAGGAAACATGAGATAGTTAAAAGAATTAAAACTCCAATAAGGGACCACTTAAAATTCCCTGATGTTAAAGAAAAGAAGACTGGTCTTGTAGAGAAAAAGAGAAAGTGGGCAGCAGAGTCCTTTTTAGATAGAGAGAAATCTGTTACAAAGAAGAGAAACCTTGCATCTGAAGAATTCTATAGGGGTAAAACTGCTCATACAATATCTAAACAGAAGCTGAAGTCACCTTGTGCTGTAAAAGTGGGCGGCAGCAGAACTACTGAAAAAGTACCTTCTGGGTTGGATATATCAAGAAGGGTGAAAGTAAATAGTTCTTTGAAAAAGGAAATTAAGACTTCCGTGGCTGAGGAGAGGAAGTCCTCATTCAGTGATATTCTATTTGCCCATGTGAAGGGGTCTGAGCAAGTGAAGTCAGGGAAGCAGGGTAAACCTGATGGTGAGCGTAACTCAGCAGTAGTTAATCTTGCCCCTAAAAGGTTGAGCAGCGCACCACCTTCTTTAGATGCAGCTACAAAGAGAAGGTAACTCTTTTACCAATTCTATATCTGTTTATATATTTATACACCATTTTTTGATAGCATTACATCGGTCATCAATATATATGTATAATACACCCTTATTTTAGCACCTCTCTCTCTCTCTCTCTCTCTCTCTCTCTCTCTCTCTCTCTCTCTATACATGTGCGTGCAAACACACACATGTGTTTGCATACTTTACAAGGACTTACCAGGGCTGCAGACAATCTTGATTTGAGGTTTCAGTGTTATTATAAGTTGTGTGCAGTTATCTGATTTATTTCTTGGAATTCAGAGTATTGGCTCTAATGAAAGATGCTGTGTCTTCAATAACTTTGGAAGAGGTTAAAAGAAAGCATAAAGTTCCTTCGACTCATGCATTGTCGTCCAGAAATGCTGTGGAGAGGAACATTACACTTGGAAAGGTGGAAGGCTCAATTGAGGTACGTCTAAACTGGGAGGATTTCTGACCCATTAAAATAAAAAAAACAAAAAAAAACTGGGAGGATTTCAACTGTTCTGGACTATGAGTTTTTTATGATTTCTTTTGTCAAGCATTTCGTAACGCTGTCCATGTATATTTAGGCTGTTCGAATGGCGTTACGGAAACTAGAGGAAGGATGCAGTACTGAAGATTTAGAGGCTGTGTGTGCACCTGCAATGATTAACCAGATTTATAAGTGGAAGGTGGTTTCCTATTCCTGTCTCACTGTCCTACAACTTGTCTTAAGTTTGGTGGTTAGGCGAAGATTATACATCTTGTTTGTATTAATTTATAGGTCTCCTACATTAATGCTTGTTGGTCTGTGTACTAGACTTATGCATCTCAGCTATATAATATGCCTAGTCAGGTTATGCTTGGTTTGTGGCTAGGGTAATGTGGTGTAAACTAGCCAGGTTAAACTAGTATCACAGTGGTCAAACTTGGGTTGATTGAAATTGGTTGAGCTTTAGCCAAGCTTGATTAACTATGCTCTAAGTTGTGCTTTGAATGTTGGTTTCCGGCATGAGGTTCGCTTGTATGTGATATAAGCTTAACTTGAATTCGTCACAGGTTCGGTCAATGTGGGATGTGAGCTTAAAGCGTGGTTCGAGTCACTTAATGACTGTAGGAAAATGCAGATACATAAGTGAATAAAGAAATAAAGAAAATCATGTAACAAATAGAAAATTTTAAATAGAGAGAAGAAGGAATTTTGGTAAATTATTGAATGTTCAGTTTTAAAAATTTTATTGGGAAGCAGCTGAAGAGCAAATGAACGAGGCGATGTCGATTTAAAGTAGAGTTTTCTTGTGATAAAATGGGAGCCAGGACAAGCCTGGTTTCTAGCTTTAATTTTTTAGCAAGCTTGTTATTTTCTTTTAGCTTGGCTTGTTTCCTTTACAAGCCAAGTCCAAACAAGCCAAATTTTTTTAAGCACTCGAGCTGTATTAAGCTGATTGACAGTCTTACTTGGGTGCAGGTATAGGGTATGCTGTTATTCTTGATGCACATTGCTAGGGGTAGGCTACGTTGATTTAATTTCAGTCCACAATTTTAAGAGGAAGCCTATTTGGTTGTTTGGTACATGCTGATAGGTACTCATTCACAAATAATTTCCAAACATTTAAGATAGACTGTGACATATTTCATTTTTAAGAGTTAGAGAAATATTAAGTATGTGCAGTTGCATGTTTGCTTGAGATATAAAATGTGTGATGATGAGCTTTTTGTAGCATCCTGTGTGGCCTCACTCTAGAATAACAGCTATTTCCAAATGGCTTAATGCATCCAGCATAGCGAGAATAACTGTTAGCTGTAGATCTCCTCTATTTTTTTCTTTCTTTGGGTTGAGTTTGCTAGGCCATTTTACGCTTATGTAATATTTGTACTAATGGTTCATTAGGAAACGGTTGTGCTCTCTTACTTCCCATTAATTTATTGACTTACCTTGATGCAGAACAAGCTGAGAGTCTATCTTGCACCATTTTTGCATGGAATGCGCTACACCTCCTTTGGTCGCCATTTTACAAAGGTGGAAAAATTAGAAGAGGTAATCTGATTGTGTTCAAGTTTCAGCCATTTCAAAGTTATGAAGCACTTTTTCTTTATCTTATTATTTTGGCTTTCACTACTCACCATTGAAAAAAGTACAAAAATATCTTATCTTTGAAAGTTCTCTTATGACTTCCTATCCGAAGGACCCCAAAAACTCTCTATTCACACAGCGGTGTGGATTTTTATTTACACCTGCTTTCTCATAAATGTTTGGCTGATTAAACTCAGTGGTAGAAATACTATACAGTTATTCAATTATACCTTCCTCTTTGAGATAGTTGTACCATTTTTTTTCTTGTCTGCACATGTTCCCTTTATTAAATTTGAGCCACGGAGTGTAGATATATGAACTCCATGAACCCTTGAAGAAGTCTAAAAACATAATTTTGAATGTGCAGATTGCTGATAGGCTCCATTGGTACGTAAAGAATGGAGATACGGTATGGATGTACATTCTTATTTTGTGGTATAATTTTAGTGCATTGTTTGGTGTATGTGAGTGCACTATATGTCCTGTAACATGAAATATCTTTTGGATGTTGCTTTGAGTTATGCAATTCCTGATACTTGATTATCTGAATTGAGTATGCTGTTCCAAATTGTAGTCATTCAGTACTATAAAAAAAATTATTTTATTTGCATGGTTGGTTATTTGCCTGAGTTTGTATTCCTTTTTTAGAATCTTCGTAGTACCCGAAGCTGTATTCCACTGTTCACCTATAGGTCAACTCAACAGACTGTTAAAGTATATTTGGCTTCTGAGTTTCTGACCACAGTTTTTGTACTGGTTTTGGAATTAATAAAATTCATTTCTTATTAAAAAAAAAAATCCAAGAATTACATTAATTTCTTTTTCTGCAACAGAAACATCTGGTGTTGGAAAAAGCTACCATGATATATATGAACTTTTGTTTGAATTTACACAGTTGACTGATTGTGCAATATATGTATTCACCACAGAAGTCATAAGATAGGTAAAAATAAAAATAAAAATCAATTTTGTGTTCTTGAGTACATATCAAAAGAATAGAAAAGATAACTAATGTTGTTGTGATTCCATATTAAATGGGATATCAATTTTGGATCATGAGCTTATGTTGTTAGTTATGAATTTATGATTGCTAGTGGCTTGCCTTTTTTTTTTATTTTTTAGATTACATATTCAGTGTTGATTACCTGATCAAAATAATGTTGAGTACCTGATTGCTTACGGTCCCAATGAACAGATTGTGGACTTCTGTTGTGGTGCTAATGATTTCAGCATCATAATGAAGAAAAAGCTTGAAGAGACGGGGAAGAAGTGCTTTTACAAAAACTATGACATCATTCAACCAAAGGTAATCCTCATCAGTATTAGTCCTTAGTATTAGTCAATCCATACATCATATTATCAATGACAGTGTAGAAACTAGAACAGTGTTTGTAGTCTCAGAAGTTATTGTTTTTGAGGGTCTGAACCGCCTGCTAGAAATATGTACACCTGATAGCTTTATAGTTTATTCCAGAAATTTCAGTTGGTTGGCTTTCAGAGTCAGATAGTAAAGAGATAGTGTAGTGTGGGTTTTCTCCTATTTCTTCTCCTCTGAATTTTTCCATTTCTTTAAAGTTATTATAATTTCTAAAAATGTTACCATTTATAGTCCACCAGTTTCATAGACAGCACCCATCTTGTGTTGTCTTACATTACTTACCGGCTTTTCCAACTTTGGATTGGGCCAAAAGGGTCTCCTCCTTTTCTCCCACTTGCATTCCTACTAAACAAGAGACAACCAATCCATCCATCCATCCATTTTCCCGCCCCTTCCATTCATTCTTAATTCTGCATTAGCAAACAGTGTTTGTGCTTGTTACTTTGGAAAGCCCCAGATTGTGGAACAGTACAGAAGAATCATGTACTGGGACGTGGTTATATATTTAAGACAGTTTATTATGGAAAAAGTGTTTTTGGGATCTAATATTGGATTACTTTTTGTTATACGTCTCAAATAATGTGTAAAGGGGCCTACTGAAACAGGTAATGATATAAAGATTTCAAAACTAAATTGGCCTATTATAGCCAGTACATATGCAAGTACAAAAAATCTTGTCCTTCCACTGTGAATGCCTACCACATTTCAGACTTCATTTATGAGGTATATGGTTGCAGTGTAATGCAATTTGTACAATTTAGCACTTGGAGTTTATTCCTGGTTGGTTCTTGATTCTCTTCATCCTCATTTTTTGCTTCAAAAAGTTAATTGTGATTAATTTTGTCTCTTATGATTGTTTTCGTATCTCACACTCTATGTCGGGTTGTAGGCTTTTGTGTATGTGCATTTTGGTAATTTACAGGCTTATGAAACAGAAGAACTGGGAAACTGATCATTTTATGTGGATTTTCATATGGCAGAACGATTTCAATTTTGAGAAGAGAGATTGGATGACTGTTCAACCAGAGGAGTTACGGACAGGGTCACGATTGGTAGGAAATTGGAGCCTGTTGTTATTTATCAAGATGTTTGCAATCTTGATGCCTTATGTTAATTGTTTCACTCTGCCTAACTTTGCTTCTTGAGCAGATCATGGGGTTGAACCCTCCTTTCGGAGTTAAAGCAACTTTGGCTAACAAGTTTATCGACAAGGCTCTCGAGTTCAAGCCAAGGATTCTTATTCTAATTGTTCCACCAGATACTCAAAGGTAGCTGCTTTCCGTTTCATCTCTCTCTCAGACATGCATCATACGAGCATGCCTGTGAACTGGACTTAAATTTGTATATAGTTTCTTACATTTGGGCCTTTCATCAGGTTAAACGAAAAGAATTCGCATTATAATCTAATTTGGGAGGATGAGCAGTTTCTGTCAGGAAAGGTAAAGTGAGATGTGTTTGTCCTAGCATCTGAATCTTAATCGTCTGACTTGAAACTTTAGAATGTGAGTTTAATGGTGGCTTGTCTTCCTTGCAGTCATTCTATCTCCCTGGATCTGTTGATCAGAATGACAAACAAATGGAGCAGTGGAATGTGAGGCCACCTCCACTCTATCTTTGGAGCCGTCCTGATTGGTCTGCTGAGAACAAGGCTATAGCATGGGCACATCTCTGCATCACCACCAGTGTTACATGAAAACATTGCCAAATCAACAACTCTGCACCACTTCCCCAGCTCTAGGCATTTTCATCACAACATTCCCAAATTCACAAACAATTTCTAAGCGTTTCAGCTAGGTTCTGTTTCCCAGCCAATGGCTCATGAAGGTTGTGCAAATCTTTTTCATTGGTCAACTGTTGAGTCATGTAAGGATCAAGTGGCCTTATTCCAATTACAAAATTAAGAAATTGAATTTGCATTTTTGTTTTGGAAAATAAATAAAAATTATAGAGAAGACCCTCGAAGGATCTTATAACCATACACGTCAAATTTAAATCTAAGCAACATATCCAACAGAAAATTATGAGTGTTGCTAAATGAACCCTAAAATTAACTGAGTATACTCTACTTCTAAATTATTTATTGAATTACTAATTTACTCTAATATAAAATTACCAAAAAGAATATATTGAATTATCAAACAAATATAATTTTAATAAGTTCACCCTATTCACCATATTCAGGATTTAGGAAAGATTCATGCCTAACTTCCAACCCCATAAAAGGTTTATGCCTACTAAGGAAAGAAAAGTACCTTCCACGTCTGTGCCAAATTATTTAGAGAATATTAACTGTACATTTCTTATATACTGCATTGACCAAGGGTTCGAAAATAAGGTTGGAGAAGCAGAGAACCGATAGGTTTTCCACAAGCTCCTTGCCCAAATAGTGGTCTGTCCTATTAACAGAAAAAAGAACCTTATTATTAGATTATGGTCCATATTCATTGCATGACCAAAACCAACCGGGTTTAACAAAATCAACCTGAATATTTGATCCTCTTCTAGGTACCGCTGGAGGGCCTTGGTCAAGGCAGTAGAGGTTCTGAATCTCGACCAAAGGGTTTCTCAACAATACCCCTGGTCCAGCCGTTACCAGATGAGGGTGATGAGCTAGCCGAACGCCTAAAAGAATGGGTTTGGTGTTATGTGATAGAGTGTATTAAGGTGTACAAAACATATTTTTGGTAGTTAAATAGGATGTACTTAGTTAATTTTACATTTTGATTTAAATATTAGGGTGTGCTTAATTAATTTTAGAGTTCGTTCAGAAGTATTTAAAATTATGAACCAATACAAGCATTTGAATAACTTTTCCCTTTCTTTTTCTATTTATAACGTGGCAAGTTGGCAACATGAGAAAAAAAAAACATCTTTTTTTGTCTATAAACTCTATGTTCCAAACACTAGAAAGAAAATCAATTTCAACTGCAGTGTATTCATGGTCATACGAAATTAAAGCATAAAAAATTCACCTTCAATGTTTCATCCAATAAATGTTTTTTGTAAACCACCCTCAATGAAATTTTTTATTAAACAAATCAAAAAATGAAGAAGTAAGCTTCGAGGTCAATGACTCACATAGTTTCTTTTTAGTTGCGACACAATTATAGTACTGCAAAAAATTTGTAAGGAGCTTGTAGCTCAAGTGGTTAAGAGTATTTATTTATACATTCGAAATCTTAAATTGATTTCCTTTTCCTTCAATATCGCTTGTATAAAAAAAAAATTATTAAAAACAAACCTGCAAAACAGTACATGGACATGAATTGGTCAATCTATTATGATGATAGTTGATCAATGTCATTGAGCTCAACATAATGATATGGCTCTGGCTGGGGGAGACATGCTAATTATGAGAGTCTTGTATTTTTTATTTTATTTTTTAGATATCTAATTTCTTATTATTTTCTCCCACAAATCTCAATTTTTCTCCATTTCATTAAAAAAGAAATATTAAACGTAATTATAAATGAAATTGGTGTGAGTAATACAATAATAATTTAACAAGTACTGAATATGTAGAGTTTGTCATCGAGTATTATATGTAATTTAAGTCACACAAGGCCATCATGCAATTAAATTTATCAATTTTGTTGTTGTTAAATAAGTAGATTATTGGTTGAATAAACATATGTCTCAAAAGTTTCGTTAAAATTTTTTGTTTGGATGAAGGAATTAAAAATTATATAGGATTTTAAAATGACATAATTTAGATTTCGATCAATTCAATTTCTGGCAATTGAAGATTTTAGTGTTTGGATTTTATGTATGTCGAATTTTGTAAATGACATTATGAAAATTGTGAAATGACGCATATTTTTGTGGAAATTAAACTCAGGAATTTGATGCAGCAATTTCCACAATTTTTTCGCTCGTCTTTTAATAAATTTCGCGCTTAAGTTGCCAAACAAAGTAATTTGTCAATTTCTCCTCTTAAATTTCTAACTTTTAGTTAAATTCTGAGTTATCCTTCCTAAGGGCCAGTTTGGCATTGCTGTGCTGTGAAAATAATTACTGTCAGATTTGCTGTGTGAAAAATCAGCTGTTAGAGAAAGCAGTTTGGCGTTTGATAAACTTTTTGTTAAAAGTATTGTTGGTACTAATTCTCGCATAATCAGAAAATGATTGCCGCATAATCATTAAACCCAATGCCTCTTCGAAACTGATTCCTGCATAATCAGAAAATGAAAGCACCTCATTAGCTGCTTTCCCTTATAGCTTTCTCTCACAACAATTTTTAACAATAAGTGATTTTCTCATAGTTTAACAAACGTTTTCATAGTCTTCCACTATGCTCTATTGCTCTTAGTCTTTGATTATACTTACATTTTTCTTTCCTTTATTTCGCTTGTTGTGATGTTGTCTTCCCTGGTTTTGGGACCTAGATCTTTTTTTTGGTAAAACAGGGGGGTCAAACCCCAAACCAACAGAAAACTTAGCCAGGGGCTAAACCAACCCAACGAGTTCTATGAACTCCTAACAAATCATCTACTAATAAAGCACCAATCCAGCTTGGGGCAGCATCAAGCACACACAGCCCAAGATCAATATTATGGCTCCATTTAGCCAAACAATCAGCCACAGCATTCCTTTCCCTGTAGATGTGGCTCACAGCACAAACACCAATCTGTCTCACCATTGCACAACAGCTAGCAATCAAGGAAGCTAGAGGGTGAGGACCTAGATCTTTTGTTAAGTGCGTGTAGTGCCCAATTAATCCTTTGAGCATTATTTCTGGTTGGCATTCTTTCCCCTTTTTTATATTATGTACTATTATGTTTTGACTTTCATTTTGCTCAATCTAGCTAGAATAAATTTTTCTTTCCCTTTTATTTTCCATATATCCCATAGCTGATTTAGTCAATTTCCATGGCACTGATACAAATTTTAGTACATCTTTTTGGTTTACACATGTCTGTCTTTAGTCAATTAATTTTTTCTTTAAATAAAGACATGGATTTTGAGTCATAGGAAAGGTGAAACATATAGAGGCATGAATTATCCTTAAATCAACTGGAAGAATGGCCATACAGGACATTAACATAACAGTCAAGACCAGCCTGTTGGGAACACATAGAGACCAATTACCATAAATAAAGAAAGTGGTACTCTTTGCAAGTGGAAACCTAAATAGAAGCTAAAAAAATGCAATTTTATCCATCCCATTCAGTTTCTTGCAAAATCCTGGCATTTCCAACAATCCATAATATTTTTTGAGTTCTTTTACTTCGACCAAAGCCTGTTGAGTCAATTTCCAACAATGTGCCCGAGTACAAGCCTGAAGCATTTATTAATATATGTGTATACATCAGTCTGAAATCTTCAGCATGTTCTTTTCTGCCTTTTCATATTGTCATCAGCAGAGTGGTACTCTTAATTCTTATGTTTGGGTTACCTTAAAGCATTTTTTATTGCTGTTAGGTCTTCGCCTGTATTTCTGTAGCCTGTGGTAAATTTTACCATCCACGTTGTGTTGCACATCTCATTGATCAAGACAATGGAGTTACTGCTGGGGAGCTTGAGAAAAATTTTTCTAAAGGGGAACCCTTTACATGTCCAATTCATAAATGCTGCGTTTGTAAACAAGGAGAACAAGGAAATGCCTGCCGTGGCGCTCTTAATTGTACTTTTGTTTTTGTTTGAATATCTGACGAAGACACTTGGAAAGACTTTTAGTTGTATCTGTAGAAGTAGTTGTTTTCTCGTAGTTTCATTTGAATTGACAAGGTTTGTTCCAAACGTAGTTGCAAGAAAAATCTGAGTAAATAATTTTCATATTTCTGCAGTTTAGCTGTTTGCATTAAGTGTTTGAATTACCTTTTGGACTCCGAATCGTTTTATATTTTGACACAATCTAGTTTCACGTCTTCTTCAATTTTGGAAATTTTCGTGCCATTTGGTTCAAAGCTCAATTTTGGAAGAAATTATAGAATGATACTGTATCACCACATCAGCTAGTGATACTCCCACTCAAAATCTGCCATATGTTATTTTTTAAAACAAAATTAAAATATATTTTACTGTTGGACTTTGGCTACCAACTTTACCCTTCAACTTTAATCACCGAAACCCCTCCCCACCGTCTTCCCTGTCCACCGTCTTCTTCCCTACGCTATGCCTGCTATCTGTAACACCACACGTCTTCTCTTCTCCCTCACCACCTACCTCAGCCTTCACCGTCTTCATAGTTAATGAATATAAAGAACTTCTAGTGTCAAAGGACTCAAAACCCATAAACAAAATCATGTTAAACTCTACCATTTAATCTCCGGAGACACCCTTGAAGTTAAAAAAAGATGGGTAATCTCTGAAAATTTCACTTCTTACTCTTTTAAAAAGACCTCTTGAATGAAAGTCGATAATGAAGATGGTGAGGAAGAAGAAGAATCTGATGTA